GGTCTTGTGCAAATGAAAGGAAGATAGTGGTGCTTGTCCCTTTTGTAGTGGGCCAGTCCTACTATTCAGGTTAATATCTTTCATTTTAAAGTATCTAAAATGTGTGTATGTTTCTACTCAGGTGGTGCTTTGAAATTTCACAATTTTACGTACTCTTTATAAACATGTATTGTATTTTTGAATGGATCCACAGATGTCTATCAAAGCAATGATTTCAGATCATACATAATTCTAAAACCAACTCCAAGAGGGGATAACCAACCAGCCCAACATGGTAGAATCTCTGCTGAACTTAATATCACTTCTTTGCACTTTCCTAAAAGGAGTGCCAGCTGTTAGCTTAGATGTCAGTAGAGTGATGAATACATGTCAGCTTTTAGCACATGTTGAAAGGAGATGTACATGGTGCTGAAGTTTAGAAGGAAACTTAGAGGAGATTTGTCACTCATCTCACCTGAAAGATACCAGCTGCCACTGCCTGAAAAGGAGCAAATACAAGGAAGAAGAGGTCTCAGCAGGTACCAAACTGTATTGACTGCTGATACAAGCCCTGTGTACACAGATAATCAGAATAGCACATCTCTGTCTTTCTAGCCATCCCACATAAGTGGCAAATATGGGTGAATGGTTTGGGGAAAATCAATTACAGGCTGAACTTCCCTTTCATCTTGTTTAGTGCTAAAACCGAGGAGCAGTTTGAAGATCCAAATCACACTTTATTGAAACGAATTTGGTGTGAAGAAAGGCACATTTTTAAAATGTCTCTAAAATTGCAGGAAAATGTCACAGCTCCACTATTTTCCTACTATGCATGATAAGAGAAAGTAGTACATCGTTTGATGTAATGTGGCCATTTGAAGCTACACTACACACAAAAATCATTGCAGTTTAAACTTTTTCCCAGAATGGTAGTAAATGTTCTGTTGTTTGAACATAATGTGTTACAAAGCTTTTGAAATATGATAAATGGGCTTGTGAGATTGGTTGAGAGAATGGGACCTGTTCAGAGTGGTGCAAAAACTTGAGATTCAAGTGTTAATCTCATATGGATTATGTCGATAAAAGATAACCTTTTAATTATATTAAAAGCTGGGCTGGAGAGAGTGGGGAAAGAGATTTGTAGATAAAGTTTTCACAAAGCCCGTTGTGCTGATAAACTACGCATAATTATTTAATTACTGTCATAAGAAAATGCATTTCATCATGTGGATTGTATTAAATTTACATTTATTTTTATTTTATTTACAGCATTTTTACCTCGCCTTTCTCAACCCTCAGAGGGACTCATAGCGGCTGAGTCATTATTTATTCTTGCTGCTGAATTTAACTTTACAAAGATTTAGACCTGTAGTTGTGCTCTTCCTCTTCCTTGTTTTATCTTTATACCAACCCTGAGATGTAGAAAAAATGAAAAAAATAAAGTTTTTGTCCTATCTTCATTCAGGTCACATCCACACCAATCATTTAATGCTATTTGAAGGTTGTTCAGACTGCAGTGTCTAGACAAGGAATCCTCACAGAAGTGAATGAAAGAAATCCCTGAAGGCATGCCCTTGCTCTATAGTTGTGTAATCATCATCAGACCCTCAAACTGGTTCCACGATTTTGTTTATAATCACTGGCACAGTTAAATTACTTTCTTCAATACTGGTTTGAAAATAAGTGCATATGTACCTCCTATGAGTTTCATGTCTGAGCAGGGTCTTTATCCCCAGGACGTTTCACATTGCACATTTAGAGTGCTGACATTATACTTTAACTGCCAGGTTCCATCCTATGGGATCCAGGAGTATGACATTTAGACAAGGGTATTTAGAATTCTCCAAAATTTATAAAATAATGTATAAAACTGAGTGCTCTATAACCCCCTAGATTTCATACGATACAACTACAACTCTTAAAATCTTATTATAGTGCAATAGCTATATGGTGTAAAAAGGCCCCTAGACAGAGTGACATCAATAATAATAATAATAATAATAATAATAATAATAATAATAATAACTTTATTTTTATACCCCACCTTCATTTTACAGGTGGGGCAGCTTACAAAGGGACAAACCCAAAGAGCACAGAATTAAAAACATAACACAATAAGGTAAAATCAAAAGAAAACAAAATTAGAACATATCACAATATAACATAACATCATAAAAACAGTACCATGCTGAGCAATAAAAGTGCTGAGTTCAGAGGGCTCTGAGTTTGTGCAAAATTCCTAGATAGAGCAAAGGGTAAGTGCAAAATTCAGTAAGGCAAGTCTGGGAGGATAATGCCCTTGGGTGTTAAAATGTCAGAATTATAGAGCGGAGGGCCATGCTAAAGTGCCCTTTAGCATGGCCCAAACTTAGGTAACATTGGGCCAATTCTTTGGAACTGCCTAGTCAAAGGCACAGCAGAACATCAGTGTTTTTAGGTTCTTGCAGAAGATGGACAGGGTAGATGCCAGTATGATCTCCCTGGGTAGATAGTTCCAGAGATAATTCCAAATTAACAATATGGACTGATGGTATGAAGCAGCCAGGTCAGGTTATTCTTGCAATGGCAATAACACTTTGTTAAATGAGATATGTTGGTACTTATTTGTCTTTTATTTATAGTTCCTGCTAAAATCTTGCATGCTCAGAGTTGTGGCTTTTAAAAAAGTCTTTCCACCTGTAATGTAGTCTTGCCCCTTTTCTGTTGCTTTCCACCTTACCAGTCATTTTCCAGTGAATCATATCACTATAGCCAGTTAATTTCATTTATATCAACAGTCAGTTTCATAGTCAATGTCATACCCTTTCAATTCAATTTAAATACATTTAAAGCTGATATATACATGAATATATGTTTAATTGTTAACACATTTCAATAAAGGTATTTTATTTGTTAATAATGAATGGGATAGCATCTTAATGCATTCAATAATATTTAAGAAAGACTTAATTTTAATTCATTTAACATGGTTTTAATTCACTTTTCATATATATAACTATTTTATTTATTTGTTTATTTATTTTTAACAGGGGAAAAAGCAACTCCTCACCTGCAACACATGAGCACTTGGCCAACCTGACAAGTGGCTACTTGCCTGATAGCAATTGCCCATACCTGGTTTAAATTTTGATTTCCTTGGTCCAAACCAGGCATTCTGTATGCGTACCTATACAACAAACTAGGATGAATCTGCTATAGTTCAGATACTTTCTGTTTTTGCATTTACCATGGGAGCAGCTGGGGGATAGGAGGGCATGAATATGAAATTCCATCAAAGTCCTAGTTTAATTTTGGCATCAAGTCAAAAAACTGCTGAGATCTCCATAATTTCTATCCAGTTATAAACCAATGGCCTGTGACACCCTCCCGATAATTGCTGGTCAGCCAGCTGTTTCTTGCTGTCTCTCTGGGATTTTCTAAGTGTCACTTTCTGGCTGGCTGCCTTCTTCTGCTGCTGAATGAGAGTGAATGGTAAATCTGCTTCTTTGCAGTGCGCATTACAATCCAGAAGATTTCTTTGAGAATAGATGGTCACCTGACCTCCCATCAACATTGCATTGGGTTGCCAAACATGAGTAATTATTTTCTGAGAGTACTGTTGAATAAAAAAAAATCAAGACATTTATTTTGTTATTTATTTCATTTTCATTCTTCTTTTGTTTTCTCAACACCCAGCTCTTTTTCTGCCCTATATGCACTAGCAATTGATACAAGGCCATTAGCTGATAAATGATAAGAGCAAATTTTAACAACACAAATTGATATACTGAGAAAATACTGCCAGACAACAGTGTTTCCTTTGGGTTTCTATCATATGCTAATTTATTTAAAAGTAATCCAGACTGAGTGCAATGGAGCTTGATTTTGAGTAGAGGAGGATAGAATCATACTGAAATGTGTTTCCTATGTCATTTAGCTGCCTTAATAATTAGGTTAGCTCCCTTCCTCTCTCCAATTTCGGTCTAGGTTAAAAACATGGTTTTTTAGATAGGCCTTTAACCTTATGTAGTTTATGGCCTGATTTGAGGATTTAGCATTTGCTCACACTGGCACTTTTCTCCACAGGTTCTACTGCATTTTATGAATTCTTAAAATTTTACTAGATGATGTTTTATGTGTGTACATTGTTTATAGAATGATGTGTTGTTTTATATGCTTCTGTATTGTTTGTTTTATACATGGCATTCACAGTGTTTTTGTGAGCCGCCCCGAGTTCCTTTTAGGAGATGGTGGCGGAGTAGAAATAAATAAATAAATAAATAAATAAATAAATAAATAAATAAATAAATAATTGTTATTATTAAGCCAGGATACTTTGGGAAAACCTGGATTTTGACTTGAAACATAATTTTACCAAAAGTGGCTGAATGTTCATTGGAAGTCTAGGATTTCCTAGTAGGGTTGATAATTTTCCCATCCTCAAGATATTGTTGATCTGCAGCTACCATTCTTGGTCACTGGCAGTGTGGGGTAAGGTCATCTATAGGACCCATCTGTAGGAAACTGGATGACATTTTGGCCTTTCATTGCCTTGAAATATTTAAACCAGTTTCATTGTAACAATCGTGATGTGAGGAGAAAGAACCAAAATGCAAGTTATCTTAAAGAATCAAACAGGGCAAAGAACCCTATTGTTTCAAGAAAACAAATTTAAGTGTGAATGATGAAGAAGGTAATTCTTATCCATATGTTCTTTTAAATCTTATGCAATTGTTTTCTAAATCACCACTTTAAAATAAATCAGTGGAAACCATTATAAATTTGCCAATTTTTAGCCATGGTTTATCTTATATGCAAAGAAAGAGGTAATTAGATTTCTTTGGGGTAATTGATTTTGTTTCCTTTGTCTCTCTTTCTGAGTGTGGATTCAGAAGGGGGGGGATAACATATTTTAATATGTATGTTACTTTGATTTATGCTTCCATTTATACGTCTTGACTATTTCTTCATTTTCCTAACATAATTAGAGCTGAGCTGATGTCTTGAGTTTATTTAAACAGCTCTCTCTGCTCCATTTCCAGGTTTTGCTCTTGAGGACTGCTTTTAAACTGAAGAAGAAGAAGAAGAAGAAAATTGCAGGGCACTTTTCATTCTCTTTGGACTCCCTGTTTACAGAAGAGAGATGGAGATGCCATTAAATACAAAAGAGATCGCTGTGTGCATGCTTCTCTTTGTATTAAGTTTGGCAGGAGCTATTGAAATTCCGCTTTCTGGTAAGTTGTAGCTATTTACTGAATGTTCTCCTACCGTAGAACATATTAAATCCTGCTGATGTGTTGTTTCCATATTGAGCTTTATGATGCTATAGTGGGGCCTTTGGGGAATTCATATGTGAACGAAATATATCTCTCCTTTCTTTTCTTGACTGGTCCACACAGAGCAGTAAACAGTAAATAGCACATAGCTTAGCATTCAAATTATTTTTGATAGCATGAAAGGTGAACAGTGTTTGGTTTTCATATTAGGTTTGATATCTAAATATAATGTAGAAAAACACTTGTTAAAAAAGAAATCATACAATCCAATGATTCTTTGAATGTTGACCCAGAAAATGTCCTCTACCTATCTCTACCTATCTATCTATCTATCTATCTATCTATCTATCTATCTATCTATCTATCATCTCTCTATCCCTTCCAGCCCTAACTTCCATCAGATTTTGCACTTTCCCTTAGCCCTATCCAGAAACTATTTCACAAACTCTTTATCCACTGAGATTAGTATTTTTACTGTTTGGCCTAGGGATTGCTTTTATGATGTTCTGTTGTGTTATTATGATGTGTTTTATTTTATTTCTGATATTTTGGCTTTGTTTTTTATTTTACTTACTGCACTGTGTTTGAATTTGTGTTTTTTCAGGTTTGTCCCTTTGTAAGCCACTCCGAGTCCCTTCGGGGAGACGGAGGCAGGGTATAAAAGTAAAGTTATTATTATTACTATTGTTATTTTACTGACACAAAAACACAGTATGTCATATTCTGGATTTCGTATCACAAAATCACAAGTTAAACACTTCCCAAGAGTCTAGGAAGCAGTAACAATGGTATGAAAAATTAAATGAGCCAGCAGGCCCAATATGGTGCTAGCGTGACTGGTCCATGTGGACAATGATGTGGCATAGCACAGGATTTGGCCTGGTATGTGCTCCAGTCTACTATAATATAAATGGGTTCCTGAATGAAATGCATACAACAAAAATACCACTTGTATAACATAAACAATATAATTCAACAACAGTATATAAACATGCTGCACTGTTAACCTTACAGCGACAACAAACAATATGGTGCAAATTTTTAGTACAGTCGTATCTTCTTATAAGTAGCTTGTGGATCAGCCGACCACGACTGGTTTTGGCCTACCTCAGGCCTTCCTCTGGTGGAAAAGTTATACACTTGAACAAATTATCCTCAAAGATACTCGCAGCCAGAACTCAACTTAGAGCAGAGTATCATATACCACCAAAAAAATTTTGTATCTCCTGAGGAGAACAAACTTTCAAGTGTATAATTTTACACCACTGACTCAAAATATCTGTATCCCCTGAGGAGAATTTGTTCAAGTGTATAACTTTTCCACCAGAGGAAGGCCTGAGGTAGGCCGAAACCGGTCATGGTCGGCTGATCCACAAGCTACTTATTAGAAGATACGACTGTACTAAAAATTTGCACCATATTGTTTGTTGTCGCTGTGAGGTTAACAGTGCAGCATGTTTATATACTGTTGTTGAATTATATTACTGTTTATGTGCTCCAGTCTGCCTCTGAATCAAACTGCAAGTATAGACATGCCCTCTGTCCATGTTTAGCTATGGCATAGTTGTTATCCACCATACTCAGAATCATTATGTTTAAATGGAAATAGATTTGATGTTTTCTCTTGGCATCAAAAGTGGAAGTGGCAATTCTGAGGAAGCTCATAAGAATGACAACTTGGATAATGTATCTCCGAATACCCTTTACTTGGCAAATGTATATATATATTTAAAAGTTTGTAAAAGAAGGGAGGAGAAGTTGAGTTGAGTGAATAACATTTCACACTCTTCTAGTGAATCAATCCAAAATTAGAGCTGCTGTGGTCAGATACATCTATCTTTCAAGGAGATTTCCATATTTAGCACTCTTTTCAGATTGAGTATTTGTTGTTGTTCATTCGTTCAGTCGTCTCCGACTCTTCGTGACCTCATGAACCAGCCTACGCCAGAGCTCCCTGTCGGCCGTTACCACCCCCAGCTCCCTCAAGGTCAGTCCAGTCACTTCAAGGATGCCATCCATCCATCTTGCCCTTGGTCGGCCCCTCTTCCTTTCCTTGTTTATTACTAATTGCATTCTAATGTATATATGCATGTGTCTTCTCATGATGTGGCCAAAGTACTTCATCTTTGCCTCTAATATCCTTCCCTCCAATGAGTAGTCGGGCTTTATTTCCTGAAGTATGGACTGGTTGGATCTTCTGCCGGTCCAAGGCACTCTCACAACTTTCTTCCAACACCACAGCTCAAAAGCATCGATCTTCCTTCGCTCAGCCTTCCCTAAGGTCCAGCTCTCACATCCGTAGGTTACTACAGGGAATACCATGGCTTTGACTAGGCGGATCTTTGTTGCCAGTCTGATGTCTCTACTCTTCACTATTTTATCGAGACTGGACATTGGTCTCCTCCCAAGAAGTAAGCGTCTTCTGATTTCCTGGCCACAGTCTGCATCTGCAGTAATCTTTGCACCTAGAAATACAAAGTCTGTCACGGCCTCCACGGTTTCTCCCTCTATTTTCCAGTTGTCAATCATTCTTGTTGCCATAATCTTGGTTTTTTTGTCGTTTAGCTGCAACCCGGCTTTTGCGCTTTCTTCTTTCACCTTGATTAGAAGGCTCCTCAGCTCCTCCTCGCTTTCGGCCATCAGAGTGGTGTCATCTGCATATCTGAGGTTGTTAATGTTTCTTCCAGCAATTTTCACCCCAGCTTTGCATTCATGAAGCCCCGCACATCCTCGCATGATGTGTTCTGCATACAAGTTAAAAAGGTTGGGTGAGAGGATGCAGCCTTGCCGTACGCCTTTCCCAATCTTGAACCAGTCTGTTGTTCCGTGGTCAGTTCTGACTGTTGCTGCTTGGTCCTTGTACAGATTCCTCAGGAGAGAGACAAGGTGGCTTGGGATGCCCATCCCACTAAGAACTTGCCACAATTTATTATGATCCACACAGTCAAAGGCTTTAGAATAGTCAATGAAGCAGAAGTAGATGTTTTTCTGAAACTCCCTGCCTTTCTCCATTATCCAGCGGATATTGGCAATCTGGTCTCTCGTTCCTCTGCCTTTTCTAAACCCAGCTTGAACTTCTGGCAACTCTCGCTCCATGTATTGCTGGAGTCTTCCTTGCAGGATCTTGAGCATTACCTTACTGGCATGAGAAATAAGGGCCACTGTACGGAAGTTTGAGCAGTCTTTCGCATTTCCCTTTTTTGGTATGGGGATATAATTGATTTTTTCCAGTCTGATGGCCATTCTTGTGTTTTCCATATTTGCTGGCAAATGGCATGCATCACCTTGACAGCATCATCTTTTAAGATTTTAAACAGTTCAGCTGGGATCCCGTCGTCTCCTGCTGCCTTGTTGTTAGCAATGCTTCTTTAAGGCCCATTCAACCTCACTCCTCAGGATGTCTGGTTCTAATTCATTCACCACACCGTCAAAACTATCCTCAATATTATCCTTCCTATACAGATCTTCTGTATAGTCTCGCCACCTTCTCTTGATCTCTTCAGCTTCTGTTAGGTCCCTGCCATCTTTGTTTCTTATCATACCAATTTTTGCCTGAAATTTACCTCCAATGTTTCTAATTTTCTGGAAGAGGTCTCTTGTCCTTCCTATTTTGTTGTCTTCCTCCACTTCCATGCATTGCTTATTTAAAAATAGTTCCTTATCTCTTCTGGCTAACCTCTGGAATTGCGCATTTAACTGGGCATATCTCCCCTTTTCACTGTTTCCTTTTGCTTTCCTCCTTTCTTGGGCTACTTCCAGTGTCTCAGCAGACAACCATTTTGCCTTCTTGGTTTTCTTTTTCTTTGGAACGTACTTTGTTGCCGCCTCCTGAACAATGTCGCGGACTTCTGTCCATAGTTCTTCTGGGACTCTGTTTACTAAATCTAGTCCTTCAAATCTGTTCTTCACTTCCACTGTATATTCGCTAGGAATGTTAGTGAGATCATATCTAACTGGTCTGTGTATTTTCCCTGATCTCTTTAGTTTTATTCTAAATTGGGCAATGAGAAGTTCGTGATCTGAGCTACAGTCAGCCCCAGGTCTTGTTTTCGCCGACTGGATGGATGTCCGCCACCTTTGGCTGCAAAGGATGTAGTCAATCTGATTTCGGTGTTGACCGTCTGGTGAGGTCCATGTGTAAAGCCGTCTTTTAGGTTGTTGGAAGAGAGTATTCGTTATACACAGCGAGTTTTCCTGGCAAAATTCTATCAGCCTGCGTCCCGCTTCATTTTGTTCTCCCAGACCATGCTTGCCTGTTGATCCCAGTTGTCATTTGACTTCCCACCTTGGCATTCCAGTCTCCTGTAATGAAAATAATGTCTCTTTTTGGTGTATTATCCAGTAGGTCCTGCAGATCCTCATAGAACTGATCTACTTCTGCTTCTTCAGCATCTGTGGTTGGGGCATATATTTGGATCACTGTAATGTTGAAAGGCTTTCCTTGCACTCGAATTGAGATCATTCTGTCATTTTTTGGGTTGTATCCAAGCACCGCTTTAGCGAATTTCCTATTAATTATGAAGGCTACTCCATTTCTTCGATGTTCCTCTTGTCCGCAGTAGTAGATCTGGTGGTCATCTGATGTGAAGTGGCCCATTCCAGTCCATTTCAGTTCGCTGACCCCCAGAATGTCTATCTTTAGTCTTGACATCTCACCAATAACAACATCCAATTTGCCCTGGCTCATAGATCTTACATTCCAGGTTCCTATGGTGTGTTGATCTTTAGAGCATCGGATTCGTCGTTCACCTCCAGTACCGTCGGCCGCTAGCCTTCCTTTCGGCTTTGAGCTAGCTGCGTCATCACATCTGGGGCTATTTGAACTTATCCTCTGCTCCTCCCCAGTAGCATTTTGGCCATCTTCCGACCTGGGAGTCCCATCTTCCAATGGCATACCGACCTATCTCTGGTTGTACTGGTCCATTTAGTTTTCTTGGCAAGGATACTGGAGTGGTTTGCCATTGCCTTCCCCAGGGATCACGCTTGGTCTGACCTCTCTGCCACAACCGTCCCGTCTTGGGTGGCCCTTCACGGTTTCGCTCATGACATCATTGAGGTGCTCAAGCTCCAGCGCCCCGACAAGGCGGTGATCCTTTGCTGGAGAGATTGAGTATTTACATCCTCCCTATCAATGAGGATGCTCACATTTTGTTGACTGAGACTGAGGTGAAGATAGTGTGTTTACTCTATTCCATGTACAGATCCTGTTGGAAATGACACCTTATAGGATGATTTTCTACACTAGAATTTTTAGAATGAACTAGGGGTTGTTGTTTTTTTTTGGGGGGGAAGCTTCAAACATTTTGCAAATATATCTGATATATATATTCTTTAACAAAGGTGAACACTTGGATTTATTTATTTATTTATTTGCTTCATTTGTATACCGCTCTTCTCAGCCCTCAGGTGACTCATTGGATAATTTAGGATGGATAATCTAAGGGCCACCACCATGGCTTCCCACTATCTATCACCTTCCATTTATTTATTTATTTATTTATTTATTATTCGAACTTATATGCCGCCTCTCCCCTGGGGCTCAGAGCGGCTTACAGAAACAGCTAAAATCTAACACAATTTAAAAACAATTTAAAACAATTTAAAAACAGCAATATCAAAAATCAAAGGCCCATCTGTTTCACTGTTGCCTCATGAATTGCCAGTTCGACTGAATAACATGATAACAACCCTTACAACCAGCAATGATTATTAAGGAGTAGGAGCTATCAATCAAGAAAGTGTACACACAAAATGTAACTTTACCTCTGATCCTCATTGTAGCCTAGTGATTCTTATACAGCTTTGGGATAGCTACAAATGGTAACATTCCAAAATAAAGAAGAGACAAAGCTGTATGTTAAGCATACTATTGTAAAGAACTGCTTTTGTACTCAATGTTAATTCACAATGCCAGGATTGGGTAAAATGTGTACACTTTTTAGAACATTTAACACTGAAGACATATGCATGCAACTCTAACAAAATGTTGTATTAGTGAATTTGAACATAGCTCTGAGAAAGTAACCGATTTATTGGCTTCTAGTTGCCACATAAATTAAGTAATTTTCCAGAATCACATTCAAATTCTCTTATAAAGAACAGAAAGAGATTCTGGTGTATATTCCCTCAAATTATTCATTTTCCCAAATTATTTGACCTTTCTTTGACCTTACGCTTCCATTTAATTCTTAATTTTTGTTAATGAAGCTTTTTATGGTGTTAATAAACATGAATTATATTTGGCTGTAAACAAGCTGGGCAAAGCTTAGTGCCATTGGAGATGTTGAAGATGAGACACCATATGGTGCCGCAAGATACCACATTCTGTATGAGTGCACACTTTTCTGGTTCACTAGGCTTAAGGAGTTTCTAGCCTGTACCCCTAATATTCATTGCTGTAATTTATAACAAAATGGTAATTCTATTATGGCCAATGGCTCTTCAGGGTACAATTTCCATTTTTATCGTTTGGTTATGTGGAGATTCACAACACTTTAATTTCTTCAGGATGATAATAATAATAAAACATGTAAATGTGGGAAATAGATGATTTGCATCGTATCAAATCCCATTCATTCTAACACTGAGAATGTCTTTGAATAAGGATGCTCCTACTTGGTAACTGATGGATTTACATTGGTATGCTGAGCAACACCAAGATGTAGGTTAGCTAACATCTTTTGTTTAACCATCACAAATACAGGTAGAGTCAATTATATTTGCTTCTGAGTACCTTCTGGGCAATTTAATCCTAATGATCAATTGATGCTAAGTTTTTCAGGCATGTATGAGAAACTCAAATAAAGAGATCTTGCATCACTCACAGCCAGATGTGTCATAGAAAAATTGATCCATAAAAGACCAGACAGCCCACACAAGAACAGACTGGACATAAGTCTTATTGGGCTAAGCTTGCTCCATGAGATGGGGATTGCCTAACCTATCTCATAACATATTTCCATATATTACACTTTGTCTGATTTAAAGGTAACTGTAATTGCTACCTTCATTGTGTTCAGACCACCCAGTGAAAACCACCAGGCAATGGGCCTACTCATTGTGATGCTTGACTATTCTGCTAACAGCTCACCTGACCTGATCTGTACTACAAAAATGAATGTGAGGAATAAAATTTCACGGTGCCCTACTTTAACAATTTATGAATATTCTGACACAATTATTTACTGGAAAATGGTATCAATATGTTGTAAAATGTATAGTATTACAGAAAGTAGTTGAGGAGACATGTCTTGAATCATTTATCATGTCACAGGCAAACTGAGAGTACAGTTAAAATACATTTTTTTAAAAGTTAAAAATTTGGCATTACGCGAAATTTCCTTTGACTGGTAGCTGGCCACTTGGAGCACCTCTAGTGTTGATGTCTTGGGAATCAAATATGTTTTGAAACATATATATGTATATATGTAATATATGTTTCATGCTATTTTGAATCACTTTTTTTTAACTTCAAGGAAGTTAAACCTTACACTGTTGTTTCTGGACAATTAATTTGTTCCCAGAACAAGAGATGTGTATCTCAACAAGTTTTGACTGAATGTTGTTGAGGGGCAAGGGATGATTTCAGGGGATTGTTCAAGTTCAAGGCACCACATCCTTTCACACAATATATTTGATGTAATATGAAGTTTACATCCCAGATCAGTAGAGAAACAAAATGGAATAAACTAGGAAACTGACAATTCAATGCAAACCATATTCAGTTTAGGATTGTAATTTAATGAACGAATGCAAAATACATTCGTTGTTAAAATGATATTTGTAACCACTGTATTTCCCACCACTATAGTGAACATCAATTGATATTGCTACAATGGAGGAACACAGTGTTCATGTACAATTTTGGTAAACGTGTGTATGTGAATGTGGTGCAGCAACAATAATAAAGATTAACATTGTTGTCAATGTGCATGTGCATAGTCCTTTAAAATTGCTATGAGTGTTGTCTGAGTTATTTTTGAATGGAGTATAATTTTAGAAAAAAAAGGAAAATGGCCATATTAACTTCTATGAAAAGTATTATGGAATATATAGGTAAGGAAGACTGTGACAAAAAGTAGGAAAAAATGAAATGTTGCACATCATTCTATGCTTATGTGATCATTTTATGTCTTTCTATTTCAGTGCAGCAGCTCCCAACAATCACAGCTCAATCGACTGATGAAGTAGCATTCCCCTTTGATGAAGAGTTTACAATCAAATGTGAAGCTAAAGGGAACCCACACCCAACGTATGTGTTTTGCAACACTTTTAGGGATGACTAGATATCCGTCTCTTTTTCATTTTGTACTTTTAACCTGCTTTTTGCACTGTTTTATTTCATCTTTATTTTAGCCATTTCAAATTATCCCACTTCAAATGTTTCAAATTCAACTCCATGTTATAGGCAGCATAATAATACCATGACTCTCATAACTGATCCATGTTTAATTTTATGTTTGTAGCCAAATATTAAGCCACAGTTCCCAGTTTGAATGTAACAAAAGGCTGCTATTTAAACAATGACAGAAACACAAAAGCCAGAACATGCAAGGAGAAAAGAGCAGGAATTGGGTAAAACAACAACATTTCAAAAGCATGGCTTATTAGTCTAAGACCATCTGAATCATCCTATGTTCCTTACCTAGAAATGACCTCCCAGGTAGTTCATTGATGACACTATGATTTAAACCACACACTTAGCAAAGTATATGAAGTGTGTAATAGCAATAACTGGGTAGCAGCTGTCTGCATACATATGCACAATTTGCCTTCTGGATTTCATCTGTATTTCATGATATCAACCATACACTTGTTGTCAACACATTTATTTGGGTAAAGTTTATGATCCCCAAAGCACCAAAAGTGTGACAAACTTAACATACATATCTTCATCATAGAAGGTCCTAGGAAAAGACAACTGGGGGTTTCTTCTTCTAAACTGCAATAGTAACTTAATTTATTGATGTCATGGAACACATCATTGATGCATTTTCAGTGTAGTTTCCATGGTTGTTCCCACTCACATCCCACCACCACCAGTACAGCCATAACCAAATCTTCCTCTGCTAGATTTATGCCAGTTCCATACCAATTTGTTATCTGCTGCTATCGGCAATGTGCATGAAGGTTTTTGATGAAGATAAATGAGTCTCTTCTTTCTATTTTTCCATCTGGATTTCTTTTTCGATGCTGCGAAAAAGAGAATGTATTTTTATCCACATATATCCTCCAGTCTCTGTCAATATCACACAGGTATCCACAGCCCTTGGGCATGAAAATATTGTATACTTCTGGAGTTCAGTATATTATTGCGATAGTAAATTGTGACATTGTTTGCACATCAAGAGGATTTCAAATCCACACATCCACAACATAAACAGATTTGAACATCCAGTGTTGATAAAATCAGAGTCACTGTAAACAGAGATGACACACACTCTTTAGAGCGATGAATGAAAGAAAACTATTACTTTCTTCATCTGACTTAGTGATGCCTCAGAGATGAAAAAAAATTAGTTCAAACCGTTCATGTGAAACAGTTTTCTATCTGATGTTATCTCCCATTCCATCCTTTCATTTTCTACAACTTCTGCAAAGAGGAATTCAAGCCATGTACTGCAGCCCTCATATTAATCAGACTGTTGAAAGTTTATAATAGTGACTATCTTTTTTTGCAGTGGGGCATATGTTAGTGGTAGAGTAGATGTTTTGGATGTTCAAGATCTAGACTCTAACACTGGAAATGTTCAATCAGTTATCACCAACATTACTGCACTAGAGAGATCAATATGCATTCATAGGATCATAGAATTGTGGAGTTGGAAGCAGCCTGATGGGCCATAGAATCCAATTCCCTATACAATGTAGGATCTATAGCTAAAGTATCACCCCGAGCATCTTTTTGAAGGTGTTCAGAGAAGAAGATCACACCTTATCTTTAGGAAATTGTTTCCATTCTTGAATTGTTCTTACTATCAAGAAAATTCTTCTAAGCTTTAATTTAAATCTACTCTCCTATAACTTAAAACCATTTGACCTGACCCTGCTCTTTGGGCTATTAGATAACAAGTCAACCTCTTCCTCTCTGTTTTTGTTCTATGAGGTATTTAAAAATACAACCATGTCACCTCTCAGTTTTCTCTTCACCAGGCTGAACATGCCCATCTCCTTAATCTTTTATCCATAGGTTTTCTTCACCATGCCTCTTATGATCCTTGTTTTTTTCCCCTTTTAACCAGCCCCAACTTCTTGAAAAGAAGTACCCAGATCTGAATATAGTATTCCAGATGCAGCCTGGGCAGTGCAGAGAATATGGGACTATTACTTCCCTAGACTTCAAAACGTTGCTTCTATTAATGCAAGCTTAAATTAATGCAAACAGTTTGGGAGTGATTGCTTCTATTAATGCAAGCAGTTTGGGAGTGATCCTGGACTCATCGCTGAGCCTGGAACCCCAGGTCGGTGGTGGCCAGGAGAGCTTTTGCACAATTAAAACTTGTGTGCCAGCTGCGCCTGTTCCTTGGGAAGTCTGACTTGGCCATGGTGGTCCACGCTCTGGTTACATCCCGAATAGAGTACTGCAACTCTCTCTATGTGGGGCTGCCTTTGAAGACTTCTTGGAAGCTTCAACTAGGTTGCTCAGAGGAGCAGCGTACAGGGAGCGTATTACTCTTTGTTGCACCAGCTCCATTGGTTGCCAATCAGCTTCCGAGCTCAATTCAAAGTGCTGGGATTAACCTTTAAAACCCTAAATGGTTCTGGCCCAGATTACCTGTCTGAACGTATCTCCTGTTATGAACCATCACGAAGCTTAAGAGGAGGCCCTGCTCTCGATCCCACCACTCTCACAAACGTGGTTGGTAGGGACAAGGGACAGGCCCTTCTCGGCAGTGGCCCCCGTCTGTAGAATTCCCTCCCTAAGGACATCAGGATGGCTACCCCCTCCTGTCCTTTAGATATGCGACATTGGATTCTTCATGTGCATTATAACCCAGATTAAATCAGGTTAAAAACTGGGGTGGGGGGAGCTAAATGATGTTTAGCCAAAAGGTGGGAAGAATCGAGGAATCAGATTAAGGACTGGAAAACACATGTTAAAAAATGTGCCTTTTTAGCCTGATCCCTCCTGAAACAAGTGCTCCTTTCCATTTCTGTGTATCCCTGCAGGCATGGAAAACATGTGCTTTACTTCCCTCCCACTGTAGACTCCCTTCGTAGCACCCATTTTACTCTCAACTTACTCGGATCAGCAGGAGTGAGTATCTGGACACTACCCCTACAAAAGTGCAGGGTTCAAGCCAGCTGTATGACCTCAAATCCAAGATAAAGTGGGATTTAAAATCAGAATTTCTCTTGGATTTTTGGCCTTTCTGTGGAGGGCCCTCAGTTTTGTGTGATCTGCAAACTTGAAAAGATTCCCTCCACTACATCATTCATAAAAATGTTGATGAGCAGTGCCCCTAGGAGAGAACCTGAAGGTACTCCATTCAAGCTCTTCATACGATCTGAAGTTTCCAATCTGAAATGTTCCTTCTACTCTGAAGCTCAGCTATTGATGATGATGAAGCAATTATGAAGCCATCTGACAGTGTTGCCATCTATTTCACATTTAACCAGTTTGCTAATCAAAATATTAGTGGGGATCTTTTCAAATGCTTGGCTGAAATCCAGATAAACAACATTCTTAGCATTCCCATCATCTACTAAACTGGTGACTTAATTTTTTTCTATATGTATATTTATATATAATAAAATTACTAGTTTGGCAGGATTTGTTCTTGACAAACTGAGGCTGGCTCCAGCTAAGCACTTGGATCTTTTTATTTTTATTGTTCCTTTTTTAAAAAAAGAAAAGAAAAATACATTTGCCCTTCTCCTGGAACCTCACCTATTTTCCAAGTTTTCTTTTTAAAATGTCACATTCTTCAGAGAGTATTTCCTTTATTTGTCACATCTAATATAGAACCTAACACAAATTTCTTCATATCTTGTTTTTTAGGTCTGTTTCTGGAGTTATTTGAGATGCTGAAAATTGCATTGGTTAGACAACATCAGTTCTAGTTTCTTAGATACAGTTTTCATTATTCTTTACAGGCAAACAGATGGCAACAGTTAGATGGCATATGTTCTATATCTCAAAAACTACTGCTCATAGGGGAAAACTAGGGCCATTTTTGGAATTAGCAGGTCAAATATACCAGAAACAGGTGAAATATTTGAGGCACCAAAATGTGTGTTGGTCCTTGTTATTTTTTTAATAGTTTATACCTTTCAATTGTAGCATTCTAATCATGGAACTCTTCACTGTCTATCTAACTTTTTTTTCTTGTTCTGAAATTTCAGCTTTAATGTTTTCCAAATCCTGTGCATTGGTATATAAATTTGAATTGTCCTTTCTTCTCACCTTTTAATCTACTGTGGGCTTTTCCAGATGAAGTAGCTGTCTATCTTCCACCAAGAATGCTGTATCCTTACATATTATTGCAATTTTTTAAAAAAACAAACCAATATATCAAAGAGAAACGTTTTGTATAATCTTCTTTCTTACATACTATCCCCAGGGAATAAAGGACCTGTTTTTACTGTTTCTGACCCCAGTAGGTAGCACAACTGACATTATCTCAGAAGTGATATTTTAGAAATGGAAGTCATTTCTGAGTGAGCTGGTGTCTTAATTTTTTTACTGTTTTAGGCTCAATTTTGATACTATTTACATTTTTGGCTGAATATTTCAGAATTGATCTCAGGATTTATAGGATGATTAGGCACTTAAGGAATTTCTGGAAGGATTGCACAAGTTCTTGCCTGCAAGTAACGCAGATAGCAAACACACTTCATTTCATATGAACAGATGTCTACCTACTCTCACACTTTGAGAAAGTATACAGACATTCTTCATCCCAGGGCCTCAGTTTTGTTACATTTCTCATAATCTTTCAGTTTAGCATTTGTTTTGACCATTTCTTATTACATGAAAATCGGTGAATATTCTGGGAAGACCCAATCTACAGTTTGTAACTTTTTTTTCCTAAAATATGCATTTGATACACCCTTTTCAAAGGCAAGCCTGACAATGTACAGTTTTTGTATGGTTGCAAATTTCATTCACTTTTTGGGGTGGGGGTGGAGTCCTGCCTATCCAAGTTCCTCATACTAATCTTGTATTTTCAGATTTTCCTGGACAAAAGATGGGAAACCATTTGACCTACAGCATGACTCAAGAATAATTGCATCTAGTAATTCAGGAACATTTGTTGTTAAAAACCGTGGGAACATATCCAATTTTCAAGGAAAATATCGCTGCTATGCTTCCAATGAGCTGGGATCTGCAGTGTCTGAAGAAATTGCTGTTGTAGTTCCAGGTAAACCTTTTAACTACTGATTACATGGATACTGTAAAGAACAAGCCTGTAAAAGAGCAGGTTATCTATGCTAGGTTTATTGTGTGTCTATTGATTTTGTTAATGGCTTTCATAGTGATTTAGGTTTTGTAGCAATATAGTGCAGGAGAGCAGGGAAGATTAAATTCATTGTTTTGTGACTAGGCTAAGAGTTCTCAGAAGCCTTGTTGAGTTTGAAGTACTCTGTCTGAATTCCACTCTGCTCATCCATGTCCTGTAAAGGATAGTTGAGAACACTTCCCATGGAGTCTGCTGTGCTTGCTTTGAAGGGGCAATAAAGATCCCCAGCCTGCTCCCAGGACTCCTTGTGAGTAGCCAGCAGCCCAGGCCTCCTCCAGTGGGGTGTGAGTCAGCAACTGCAAGGAGGCCTCTACTTCTATAAAGCTGAGCCCACAGGCCTGCCAGGGACTGAGTCTGCTGTGCTTGCTGTGAAGGACCAGTGCTAACCATCTCGCCATCTGAGGCGCCTGTCATCGCATCTTCCATCTCCACTCCTGGAAGGACTAGCATTGACCATCCCACCATCTGAACTTGCTGACATCCGACTGTCCATCTCCATTTCCAGTTAAGACTGGCGATAGAGTTTTCCCCCTTGGAGCCTGCACTGGTTGAGGAGCTCCTTTGGACCGGTGACCACCTACTTCAGCCGGCGGGGTTGCCTGCAGCAGCTAGAGGCCAACTGGGTGAGCTGCAATACCTACGACGACTGGTGGTGCTCTACTATTGGGGCTGTGACAGTGGTTGAGGAGCTCCTTTGGACCGGTGACCACCTACTTCAGCCGGCGGGGTTGCCTGCAGCAGCTAGAGGCCAACTGGGTGAGCTGCAATACCTACGACGACTGGTGGTGCTGTACTATTGGGGCTGTGACAGTGTGCTCCATCTGCAGTTAAGAACTTCTTGTGCAGTCCTCCAGGGCCCCCCAATGTGCGGTGGCGGCTGCGGGCTTGCTATCCATCCTGGCTTGGTTGTGGTGTAATTGTGAAGCTGCTTTTCTACTGCTTACTGTTTGTTTGAGACTAGTCGCCAGTTCCCAACTGTCATTATAGATACCCTCGGCTTGCCAAGGGTCAGTTGCCCTTCTATCCACCCAACAAACAGGAATATATTCCAACCTCCAGTAGTACAGCCGTACTCCATCCTGGGCAGTGGCTCTAGATGCTACTGTTCCACCTATGCGCAGAGAAGACTGTATGTATGAAGATGATGTCTCCTAGCCAGTTTTGCAACCTGCCGCCCTTTTGTAACAGATGCCTTTTCCTCCTCTTGCTGCAGATTGCTGAAGGCATGGCTTTCATTGAACAGAGAAACTACATCCATCGGGACTTGAGGGCCGCCAATATCCTAGTATCGGGAATACTGGTTTGCAAAATTGCAGATTTCGGCCTGGCCAGAGTGATTGAGGATAACGATTCCTATGCCCCTACCTAATGTCAATTATACTGCTAATCTGCCGATTTCATGCCAATAAGAATTTCACTGTGTAGGAATACCTCTGTAGTCTAATCCCCCATTGCACTGTTGTAAAAGATGACTTGTTAGCACTCCAGCACTTTAATTAACTGTGAGATCTCTGTTAGTTATTAATATCAATGGTGCTATTGTGCGGTCACTTTAATTTTGCATTTGCA